TTTATTAAAAAATGCTTTATCTTAAATTACTGAAAGTTAAAGATTACTTTGTTCCCAAATATGTACAGTGATAAATTGATTTTCGGACACATTTGTGGAATGAGAGTCACAGTAAGGAAGGCATGATCAAAGTGTACAGAACATCACTCTTCATACTGATCAAATAATCGGAAGAAAATTTCATAATCACATTTATCCGTTTATCTTCAAGGTCATTTTACAAGCACTTTTTTTTTTTCTTATTTAATCATCCGACACCCTTCTCGGATGGAAAAAGAAAAGAGTACTACAGTAATAATGTACAGTACGTATGTCAATTTCTTATGCCGATTAGCACAAACTATTCTAAATATGACGTTTTTTTTCATACTGTATGTCGATTAAATGCAGTACGTAATGTGTAAACACATCCTTGAATTATTAAATTCATGAACGTTATGTCTTGAACTATTAACAACACATTCCTTCTCATGGAAAATATTCTGACTTCGTATAATGCACAAATTTCCATTATCAATTATTAGCATAAATTAAAAATTTTATTACTTGATTTGTGTTTTTATGATTATGGAGTTTATTTAACGAATCTCTCCCAAAAGAGATTTCATTCTACCGCAAAAATTTACTTATAAATTCGCAACATACCTGCATGAATTTTCTTGTAAATACTCCTCAGTAATCAATACCTTATTGCGATTTCGTCAATTTCTTTCTTTCATTACATTAAACTGTTGATTCAAAATAAACATGTCTCTTGAAGACGGAACTGCAATCGTCCAATCAAAATCAGCCAATCCTACACCACTTGGTATGTCGAAATTATTCTTTTTGAAATCACGTTTAACCTTAAACTATAACTCAAAATATATGACAAAAATATACAGGTCTCTCGTCTTTCGCCTTGACTTTATTCGTGCTGTCAATTCATAATGTTGGTTATACCGAGATGCCAACTATTATTATCGGTTTGACTTTATTCTATGGTGGTCTTATTCAATTGTTGGCCGGAATGTGGGAGTTCCGAGCGAATAACATGTTTGCGGCAACAGCTTTCTCTTCGTACGGAGGTTTTTGGTTATCACTCATTGTCTTGCTCCCTGGAGCTAGTTTCACAAACGATAAAGATTTTGACTATGGACTAGGAATCTATCTTGCCGGATGGACCCTCTGTAGGTGTCAAATATTTTCCATGATATTATCCGCGTGTTTTAAGTGCCCAAATTAAATCACCACCATTTTGTCACGCAGTCACTCTCCTGCTATTATTAGCCACTTTCCGCTCGAATGGTGGCTTAGTTGCCTTTTTCTTCTTCTTATGGTTCACCTTCCT